CCCCCCGACTCACCCACCCCCACCCACCGACTCACCCACTCACCCACTCACCCACCACCGTCATCCCCTATCGCCACCCCGATCCAAAACCATCAGGCTTTCGCGCAACCGTATCGTCTTTACGTTTTCTTTTAATCCGGATGGCTGTATGTGTTATTATTATTCCGTTGGGCTGATCTTGACTTGAGAATGCGCAATTGTGTACTAAACTTTTACTTTAACGGATAATGGAAAGCGAAGCGTGACAAAACATAATTAAGAGTGGCAAATTGAAATTCAGGATAATGCATAGTCGTAATACATGACAAGTTGTTTAGTTTTTCAATTTTGTCATACGCGAATGTCGAAGCGCAATTGAGTTATTCCTAGACGATTAAGATTGATTATTGAAATTGTAAAAGAAATCACCGAACAATAAAATATCCTAAAATTTCTTTCATTCTCATTTTTACGCGCAATCAACGGCGTGAGCAATTATTAAATAAAGATAATTAATAAAAAGAATTGCGAATGAAATAATTTAAGCCGTTGCTTAAACGAAGAGACGGCTTATCTAATTCAACAAATTCGTTTCATGCCAATTCCCCCAACCGCCTATTTTAATTTATGTTTTTATTCAAATGCTTTTATTGTTTATTTAGAAATGTGGGTGGTAATATACGTGATGGGATAACAGGATTTTCAGGGTAAGTTTGAGTATGATAAAAGTTATATTAATTTATTTATTCCCTGTATCGTCCGTTAAATTCGAGATATCGAAGAATATTGTTGTCACGCGAAAACCAAGAGTTGTAATGATAAATATTGCAATTTGTTTGGTAAATAGCGGTATTCCCTTGTCATTTCAAATAAAAAAAAATTATATACCTTTACAATACGGCAATTTAGATTTAGTGGATTGGCTTAGTCGATATGCAGTATCGACTTTCACTACACGACCACATGACCTAAAATACGTGTTTCGAATCAAGAAGAAAGATAGTTCAATTTATTCGCAGCTCGCGGGTTTACTAACTTTCCATGGCGGAACAATGCATACTTTTTAAAATATCGAGCGATCCCTATTTATTGCCCTATTGTCACAATACGTAAAGAGTAATAATTAAACGATCATTATAAATAGAATTGCTTATCTTTAAATTAATTTTAACGAACCCATAACTAATGAATTCTGTGCATTCTCATTATTTTTATCTCCATAAAATCCTTAATAATGTGCCAATATTAAGATTAATTTTACTCGATTAAATTAATGCACAATTCATAAGTCGACGATTAATGTTTACATATAATTTCCTACATTATTTCCAATTTCATATTTTCGTTTGTAAAAATTTTTAAGTCCATGTACTTAATAGAGCCCGTTCGTTCTATGTAAATCTTATCTACGTAAAAAAAAAAAAAAAAAAAAAAAAAAAAAAAAAAAACATAAATTGAATAAATTAAAAAAGAAAAATTATTTAGAGAGAGAGTAGCTTTATAATAACACGAGTAAAATTTATTTTGTAGAAGCGTGATGTCAAAGCCAAGGGAGTTCGCTCATCTGATAAAAAATAAATTTGGCAGTGCCGATAACATAAATAGTATATCACGTAAGTATTTGGTTGGTTTGGTAACCTTTTCGATTAATCATCACGAGTTTGTTTAAAATAATGTATTATTATTTGTTTTTTCATATTTTTTTTTTTTTTTTTTTTTTTTTTTTTTTTTGTTTTTTTTTTTGTTATATCGTCGCAACTCGCCTCGCACAAACAGCTACAAAATACAAATATTACACACTTTGATATTCTCAATAAAATTATAAGAAAATAATTCACCGCTGTTGTAGCAACACTCTGCATTTACAAATTATATTCGTAATCACCCGTTGATACCTGCCGCAATCTAACACTTTTTATCGGCCTTTTTGCGCTGCCATCCGTTAGTCGATAGACGCAAGTATAAAGAAGGAAAGGCACTGACAATTCAGTATAACACGCTTGAAAATATTTCACTTTTTCTATTTAAATTTGTTGTCATTCTCTATGCACTCTTAACACCTTAACCGCTTGGGTTTACAACTCATGTTTATACACTTTCCTCACTGCTTGCCGTTAATTACAGTTATCCAATGGCAAAAATTTACGAACATTACGAACAAGTTAAAAGTTCTCGACATCCAATTGATACGATTAAAGTGTTCAATATTAAAAGCGCAAGTTTTAACGTTTCGCCAAACGTTTTATGGATACTCTCGGCATTTCATGATTATTACATGCATTTTATTCGTCACAATCGCTCGTTCATTTATTTAATGGAGCATTAGAGAAAGTCTTTCATCCTTAATATAAATTAAGTTATCGATCAAGCCTTACGCCTCGCAAGGGCCGTATTACGATAAATAAATTCCTTAAAGTCGTTTAACACGCGATATAAAATAGAAAGTGCGTGACATCGATTGCCGGGAAATTGATGTCGTTGAACTTTGGCACTGAAAAGCAACGGGTAAAAGCAAAACGTATTTATTGCACAAAATGTAAAACAAAAAAAAAAAAAAAAAAACAAAAAAACAAAAATGAGTATCTGCCATCGGTCAATGAGTATCCAAGCAATAAATGTCATTCGCGTTAGTTAAATATTTGCTCGGTAAAGGAACGTCGAGTATGATCTCGTTAGCTTGATTTTTCGGATGTCACATTTGACGGCCAACTCACCAAATATTAGGATTTCTTCTCAGTGTCAATAGTAACGAACGACGAAAGCGCAAACTGATCATCGTCTCTGTATTCCTCTCGTCTCATACGCACGCGTGTGTTCGTGTGCGCGCGCGTGTGCGAGTGTCTATCTATCTATCTATCTATCTATCTCTGTCTCTGTCTCTGTCTCTGTCTCTGTCTCTGTCTCTGTCTCTGTCTCTGTTTTTATCAGCTGGGTATTGTATTGGATAAGCTCTGTAATTCTAACAGGCCGACCCTCCCTGTGCTTTGATCGCAGATGGCTCGACATTTTATGTAAACGATACACCGCGTGCAACAGGTAACAATGGTGATAGCGGCAGCGTCGAGGAGGAAAACGGCAAGGTCCACCACGGCTCGGCGACCCTTCCCGGGGGCTGCAGCCTCGGCTCCAACCACAGCGCCGGCGGTGGCGGTGGCGGTGGAGTTGGGAGCGGGGGCGGTGGCGCCGGAGGACCCGGGCCCACGACCATGAAGTTCCCCTCGGAGGAGGGCTCCGAGTGCTCGAGCGTGACGAGCGAGAGCGGACCCGGAAGTCGGGGTCAGACCCACGCATGCGCGCACGAGAGCAGCAGACCCTGCAGCCTCAAGTCCATATTCGCGGAGCTGCAGGACCACAGGGAGAATCTCGACCGTTTCCGGGAAAAGCTCGAGGCGTTCAAGGTGAGTGCATTACTCGAATTTTTCCGACCTCGACGCGGCAGTTCACTTCCTTACATTTTTTTCTCCCTCGCTTTACCTTCGTACTCCACATGATCGAGCCTACCACCAAACTATAAAAGCAAAAGTCCCTCGTTCTATCCTCTCACCTTGTTTTGTCGATCTTCGAAGCCAAATCTTGATCCGCACTGCGCGTAAAAAAAAAAGAAAAAAAAAATTCAATTTAATTATAATTAGCGTCCATTAAAAAAGAAAACGAGAAGATAATTTTCAAATGGGGGAGTTTTAAATCTTAAACAAGATAACTCCGCAAATTTTTGGCGTCCGCTCCTGACGAGTGAATTGGGAAGCTTTTATCCTCGCGCTATCGGCATTACGATCGTGCATTAGTAGATCGCGTTTGTCGGCTAATTTCGGAAAGTCAAACGGCATTGCATCGATAATTACCTAATAATTACCTTCTCAAAGCTCTTTTTGTCCATTACCAATCTTACCGCATCCTTATCCAAGACTCGTTAATAATAATAATAATAATAATAATAATAACAATAATAATAATAATAATAATAACAATAACAATAACAATAATAATAATAATAATAATAATAATTAAGTAATGGAATTGATGGGGCGTAGTTTGTCGTTTTATCGAGTTGCGCAAGCTCGAGCTTGATAATGTAAAGTGAGGCAAAATGTAATGAGAAAGGTCGAGCACTTACGAGACATTAAAATCCTTGTGTCAGACGATACAACAGGAGGTGAGCTATCTGTCGCACGCCCTCCAAGAGGAGAGATTCCGCTGCGAGCGTCTGGAGGAGCAGATAAACGATCTTACGGAACTACACCAGAACGAGATCGAGAACCTGAAGCAGACGATCACGGACATGGAGGAGAAGGTGCAGTATCAGAGCGAAGACAGATTGCGTGATATACACGAGATGCTGGAAAGCTGCCAGACGAAAATATGGAAGATGGAGCACCAGCAGCAGCAGCACCAGCAGTACGTGACCCTCGAGGGCCTCGACAATAGCAACGCCCGAGCCCTGGTGGTTAAGCTCATAAACGTCGTACTGACGGTTTTGCAAGTGATTTTACTGTTAGTGGCGACCGGTGCTGGGATCATGATGCCGTTTCTTCGCACGAGGTAAGAGAACTTCTATTCTAAGCTTCATCTTCCTTCTTATCGTTCCGCCAATCTTCTCCCACTCCTTAAGATGACTAATAGCGAGCCTTGGTACATTTTCAGCTTGGCGTCTCCTACTTTATCTCGCCGCTTTATCCTTTATACTCGTTTTTTCGAGTTGCTGTTTTATTGTAGAACGCGTCAATCAGGCGTCGTTTTTCAATACTTTGAGCCGCCAGAGTATTACCATTCGACAATTATATTGGCTGTATCGAAAGTAAAAAATATTTCACTTTTGACGAAGCTGCATTGACGAGCTAAATTGCAATGATACACTGGTGTCGAGTGCTTTCAGTCGTCACTTAACCTTACGATACTCGATTAGTTATATTACATTTATAAGCATTGTTATTCGCTGTTCCATTAAAACGAGATTGCATATCGAGCTTGAAGAATTCTTGGGAGAAAGTTCTCGTGAAATTTATACAAAACGCGCTGATTTTTCTCGCGTTTTATCTTACATAATTATACTCCATCTTTTCTTTTTTTTTTTTTTTTTTTTTTTCCTTTTTTCCCCCTTTCCCCCCCCCCCTTTTTCCTTTTTTTTCCTTTGTTTTCCCTCTTTTTTTTCCCCTTTGTTTTTCCCTTTTTTTTCCCCTTTTTTTTTTATCTTTTTTTTCTATCTTTTTTTTTTTTTTTTTTTTTTTTTTTTTTTTTTTTTTTTCGAGACATTTTGTCATCGACTCAACTTGTGATTTTCGTGACGTTAATTAACGATAATTCCTATTAAATGATCGACAAATTGCTTCGATTAGATTACAAGTCGCCGTCCGTGCGCATGTATACATCTAACGACCAATACTTACATCCATTATCAATACGTTATGTAGATTGACTTTAAGCTGAAAATACACCAATGGCACTTTGGACGTTGATGCATAATATTCTTAATAATTGTTCTAATCATTGATCGTTAGAATAATAAGAATAATATGAATGGAATTGGGTCTTATAAAATAGAGAAAATGGGCTTTTCTGTCTGTTGGCGATATTGATTAGCGATGTTTATGTCATTAGAGTCAATCGGACTAGTCGCGAGCCAATCAAGCCCCAAACATGTGAAAGGTAAATCGATTGTACGGCCAAATCGATTATAAGCCGCATTGATAATAATTTTCGATCCCTCGAACATACGTTAAAACCTGTCGACACACGCCCTGTGTTAAACAATCGAATGAAAATAAAGAAATAACGAATAAGACCGAATTCCAATTGTAGAAAGAATCTCGAGTTGCACCAATCGGCATCGATCGCTCATCACATTGCAATTGAAATAATTGCGCGACACGATGAAAAGGACAAAGAACAATTAACGTCGAGCGCACGATTATTTCATATTCGACATCTCGTAAAAGACAATTTATCATCGATCGGCGAGAGCAGCATCGTTAATCTCCCGTCCGACGAGTCTTATGATTTTGCACGCATTTCTCCTTCTTTATGTTTTTTTTTCCGTTTTGCCGGTGTTTCTCGCCGCGTCTGTTTCAGCTGTACTAAGCCCCATTGTTTCATGTGCAGGGTGCGCATACTGACGACGACCTTCGTCGTCCTGGGTATAGTCTTCGTGCTGAAGCAGTGGCCCGAGGTCCACGATGTCGGCAGTCATCTAATGCGCCACCTTAAGCGGACGCTTGCCGTCAAGTAGCATTCCTCGTTATTGTTAACCCCCGGAGGTGATAATAAATTAGTGCGACAAGGAGGCGTGAGAGGAGTACACGAAGAGAGAGAAAGAGAGAGAGAGAGAGAGAGAGAGAGAGAGCGAGCGAGAGAGTGAGCGAGCGAGTGAGCGTGTGAGTGAAAATGACGAAGAGATCAAACGAGTAAGAGTAAAAGAGGTCGGCTCGCTATCTCTCTCTCCGCATTTCCCGCTTATCTTCCTTATCTACTACTACTACTACCACCTATCTCCCTCCCCCTCCTCCCCCTCCTCCTCCTCTGTCCCCATCCCCTTCCCTCATCCCCTCCCCTCTCACTCCCCGGCCTTCTCTTCTGTATCAATCTGTCGCTCGTCTCTCTCATCGCGAACATCCATCGGGGCTCCGTGGCAGCACCTATAAAAAAATTATAAATATGTAGATTGAAGATGAAAATTTTGTGATTAGATAATTAATGCGTTCACGTACAGCGACACGTGCACGCAGTAAGCGAAGGCAGAAAGATTTCCTTACTTTGACATGTGCCTTGTATTTATTCGAATATTATTATACAATAGAATTTTATTAATAGACAAGGACAGTGTCATTTTTATCAAGAGCATTACCGTTACTTTATTTGCATGGCTTTTCGACATATTCGTTTCATTACGTTATCTTTCAATGGCACATGGTTCACATAGTTCAAGCACTTATTGCGACTCATTTTTCTCAATATTTCACGGCTATTGTGCCACAAAAGTTCCCATTAATGTCAAAGTCTTGATAAAATTAAGCCAATGGATTATCGTTAAATTACATTTGTGCTAATAATGACAATGATACTGTGGTGACGATACAATTGATTTTATCGAATGGAATCTATAAATGATCGATGTTGCCTAATAAATTGAATGCTTCGATTAAATAAGGAGACGAATAACCTGAATAATTAGGTCACGGAAGCTAAAAACCAGAGTACATGTTTATTAAGTAAATCGTGCTTTGTCATTAAAATAATGTATACGATGATATGACCCAAAAGGCTTTCGATTCCCATAACAATTAAACATAAATGCACAAAGTAATAATTATTTACCAAAGTATTTGTTTCAAAGTAATGGAATTCTTTCACTTCTAGATACAAATTTTCGAGTCCTTTTTTTCTTTCTTAATTATTATTATTAGTTTTTTGTTGTTTTTTTTTCATTCTGTTTGTATAATTTATTATTAAATATCGAACACTGAAAAATATATCAGTTATAGACGATCGTTACTAATTAGCAAAGAAATATTTTCGCTATTAGGTCAAACTCGAATTTGTCAATTTGATAGAATCGCATTGAATTTTTTATCATTATATGTTTAATAAATTTTTTATTTAGCCTGTATTGTATATCTTTTATTGTAATTGAAATTGTTTGTCTTCTTTTTATTTATTATTCGGTTTTGAAATAGGCGTTTATATATATATTTTTCTATAATATTCATTTAATCTTAATGGCTAATTAATTATATTGTAGTTGACTCCTTTAGACGACATTATACATTATACATGCTTTTATGTATGTTCTTTTTTCAAAGTAATAATTATGTTAATGCATAGAAAGAAAATAAAAAATGAGACTTTTCCTTCTCTTATGTATTGTACTCGATGAATGTGCTAACAATTACAATAATAATATTAATTGCCAATGTTTATAAATATTGAAGTTAAAATAGTTCACAAAAATCAATGCTCGAGTGCGTTTGATAATACGAAGAAATACAAAAAAATACAAAAAAAACAAAAAAAAAAAACAAAACAAAACACACACACACACACATCATATGTTTTTCTATTATTAATGCAAAGACTGTTTTTATAAAATTTACAGAAATAACAAGTAATCCGTCAATTACTATAAAATAAATTGTATGTTAATAAATTACACATAAGTATTATATTACAATAAGTTATCAACGACATTTTCATAATAAAAATGAATATAATATAACTAAAATACAATTCTCATTTTTCTAATTATAAATAAGTTTCTACTTATAAATCATAAATCTAATTCTTCCTAAACATAAGCTCAGAGAAGTCTCATTTTTTAATAATTAAATTGAAATATCGAAGGACAATAAAGTGTCGAAATCATAAATTTTATTCGCGAGGCTAATTTTTGTTTATCAATAACCAATTAAGAACTAATTTTAAATGACATTCATCATATCGATTCATTAAATGTCAATCAATTTCATGAAAATTGCAACTTGAGAACTGTGAAACAAAGTAGCATTTTAAGAATAATTCGGTTCAGTCACCATCATATATATATATATATATATATATATATATATATATTAGAATATAAGTACATTATAAAAGTGACAAATACACATCTATACACGCACTCACCCACTCACGCCCTCGCGCGCGCACACAAATATAAAAATGTATATTATCTATGGCAATAGTCTTTAAAAAAAAAATCTGGAGAAAACAAAAAGTTGTTAGTTCTTTTTGCTGTAATCATTTAATCGAACGGGATAAAATTTTCCATTAAAATATCTCTAAAATTTTCAATGCATTCATATTATCGGGAATCTCATCACATTTATTTGAAATTCTCGTGAAAACGCAGACAAGTTTTCGACAATTAATAAATAAAACAATCGAATCCATTGATGGCACTCGTGTTGATAAATTTCGGTCTTACGATGATTTGCCCTAGAATTCCAATTTATCCAGTCGATTCAATGAATACCGCAAATAAATAAACAAGAAAAAGAATAATGAATAAGATAAGAAAAGAAAAGAAGAAAAATATATACGCAACGAAAATTCATGGACGCCTTAACATAAACACGTATTATTCGTGAATAAGTGTATACGAGTGATTGCACGTCATACGCTAATTCGGATTATGTAAAATATAATATTGTCAAGTAGCATGACTTTAGAATTTGTTGTCCAATGGCCGATCGTTAGAGGCAGAGCAAATTAGAGGCCAAATTGTCGTAGTTTGTAACGAATAATCACATAATGACACATTTCCTTTTATTGCTTAGAAAATCACGTTATAGTCTAATGTCCCGCTGTTGCCTCCATGTTGTTGCCGCACCTCTTTGTTTTAATCCAAGTTCCAAATTTATAATGTAACTTTGACAAAGTTACGTCGTCTCTTCCTCGTTGCTTTATCCCTGCTGAAAAAGCTTAAAGGTACGAGTAGAATTTTTAACGACCGTAAATTAAGTAAAACTTAGGTATAGCAAACTTGGTTATAACGATAAAAGTTCAAAAAAAAAAAACAAAAACAAAAACAAAAACAAAAACAAAAGAAAAACAAAGATGTGGAGGGGGAGGAGGGGGAGGAGGGGGAGGAGGAGGAGGAGGAGGAGGAGGAAAGAAAATCAAAAGAGAAAGCTATGAAAAGACTACGAGGATAAAATTACGTAAAATTTTAATAAAAGAGTCGACTGCGTTGAGCAATTCCATTTCCCTCCTCGAATATTACGTTGGTTTACACCATTCGGTCGGTTTGTATTTTACGGCGTCGCTGTGTACGTATTATGATTATTTTCTACGATCATTCGTCAAGTCAATTTGCTTTAAAAAGAAAAAAAGGGAAAAATGGGATCCCGACAGTACGAAAAATCTGCGGCACGTGCTTTCGCGAAAAATAGGAAAACTACCGAAGATGTTCGAAAATGACAAGCTCGCGTCGTTTATTGCACGCACACTAACCTACTCACGTCTCTTACACGAGTCTTTCATTTCTCCCACAATGCTCCACGTATATTTAAAGTATTTAAAGTATTTACAGCGGAGGCTCATTACGTACTCTCCATGCAAATGTGAGCTTTTAAGTCATTAAGAGAAAAGAGAAAATTGTCTCGACTTTATGACTAAGGTCATCCTTAGCTATCGATTTTCATTTCGTAACTATTAATGCTACATTGCTGTACCATTATCGGTGTCTCTCGCTCTCAATTTACCAATTTGCATCGGTTTCTCCTCAATACTCCTTCGAGGCTATTTCAATCATAAATTCTAATCTCTCCGTCGTGTTAGACGTACGTTCGATCGATTAACCATAACTGCCAAGTTGCACACTATCGGCGATTTAAAGTATACGCGATGATCTTCTTACTTGTTTCTTACGATGTTTGTCGAATTGATAGTCGCCATTGAGACGAGAGAGCTAAAATCCTTTAGACATTCGGCATCCTTGTATCGCGAGAATATTCTAGCGCTTAACGCTTATTATCCACTTACCTACCGACAACGACGTTTAATTATGTGTAAATATAATTGTACGCTCGAGGATGTTAAACATTAAAAGAAATGAAAAGAGAGGATATATGATAAGTCGCTAGCACGCGCGTTCAACAAGTAGACAACAAGTGAACTCGGGACGCAAAACAGATGTCTCACTTTTCCATTAAAAATTTTATTCCCTTGAGGGGTAAAAGCGTCGCAGCACAAGCAGTCACTCTGAGCCCAGGAGCTAACTCCATTAATTATTACCGCGGGAGTCATCCGCTCAACGCGTCTATGATTTAAGGAACGCGGGTTGACGACAGGCTTACTACACTTTACACTTTAGGCGCGATGAATAAAAAATGTCCTATTTACGCGAGATTACATTGCGCCTATAAGAGAATTCCGACAATTATCTTGTCCTTATGAGATAAAAGAGCCAATCGGAACGTTGATTAATTAAACGCGTCATTAATTATCATTCGCTGTCGAATATTTGCGCTTTTTGATCATATTTTATACAAAATGCTTTCGCGCGGCTTGTGTTACTCTTTAATCGTCATGGCTCGACGATGAGCTTGACTTTCTCCCCGACTGCGTGACTGATTTTTCAAGCTTTGAGGGAGAAGAATCAAGGCACAAGCACGACAGTCGAACATTTTTAACGCCGCCGATTCCTGACGCCATTGACTGACAAACCCATTACTTTTCACGTCATTCTAAACGATAAAGAGAAATATGGAGCACCTCGTTAGAAATTTCCATTGCGTGAAAAGCGTTAGTTTTCGTTTAACCAGTTCGAACGAGAGAACTAAACGATGTGTTCCGAGGCTCCGCGAGCGAAGGTTTACGTATAC